AATGCACAGTAACTCCTATGATTTAACAATTTTTCTTCAGTTTGAAAACTATTTAAACACATTCTGCAAAGATATCTCTTTTTACAATTTTTTGTAATTTGACCCTTAACTAACCCCCATAAATTTTTTATTAAACAATAATGTGTATTATCACCGTCTTTCAAAAGTAATAAATCAATATGTACTTTTTTCTCATCTTTCGTTACATATAAGGGGTTTATATTATATTTCTCAACATGATGATAAACATTAATAGATAATCCACCTTCAATCAAATTTGTTTTATTAACACTGTTTAAAAAACTAGGAATCTTACTAACTTCCATTGGATACTCAATATCTATAAACATATAATTAAACAAATTTTCATATTTCTTATATTTTGTTACTCTTTGCGGATTATCAACAACTGGATATAAATGAGTCAAAATTGACCATAAAAAACATTTATCATCATCTTCATTTTTTACATTTATAACTGCTTTTCTGTTAGCTATTTTTACTGGAGTTGGTATATAAGAGCTACCCTTTATGGGAGCATATTTATTTATGGCTACATTGAGAGTGTTAATTGAAATTAACACCCATTGCGATCCTCTTAAACTATCTGAAACACGTTCATGTTCATATAATATTTTAGCTTTCATTTCTTTATATATTTCATCTAAATTTGACTCTGGAAAAATATCATAATTCGGTGTTTGCAAATATTTAACTGCTGATTCTACAACATCTATAATACCACCTTTTTCATAAGTACAAATAACACATAAATGAGCTTTTACAGACTTATGTTTAAATAACCATTTCTTAATAAGACCAAAAACAGATTTCTTTGTACTATCTATAAAATCAGGTATATTTTTAATTCCAGTTTTATTACCAATTTCAAATTGAGTATGTCTACTTTTAAAATTTTCTTCGTAAAATGTAGGCTTATAAATAGATTGTTCCTTACTGGGTTGCTCTATTATATCTTCATGAAATTTAAATGGAAATCCTGTTAACCAATAATTTTTTTCTTCGTCAGTTAATTTAAAAATAATCTCTAATCTACTGTCATTATATGATGAATGCTTTATTTTTCCAATTAAAATACTATACAATCCTTCCAAATTCTGAGTAGCAATTTTCTTTCCATATTGTATGCAAAATGTATAGTTTCTTAAAAAATGTTCCATCTGTTTATCACTTTTATTTAAATATTTATTATGTGCTTGAAAAAACTTAAACCATTTTGAAACATCTATGTCTTTATTTTTTTTCTCAGTTTTTATAAATCTTATTGAAACCTGATTATCCATTTATTAATAAAGTTTTGACAAAGTTATTTTTTTAAATAGAAATTTTTGTTTTTATTTAATAAGTAAATTTTTTAATAACAAAAATTATTCTTGAGGAGTGTTCTCTTTACTCATATTATCCATCCTTTTTGAGTGAGATTTAGTTAACAAATGCCTCTTATGGGCTCTTAAATGCATTACTTGACCACATTCACATGCTACCAATTCACTGCTAACTTTGGTTTTCATACAACTTTTACACCATTTTTGATTTTTACTAAATTCATTAACACTCTTGAATGTTTCACATTTTGAGCATAAATATACATCTCCTGCTTTCAAAGACTGCAATAATACCTCATCTTTATTTATCAACTCATAGATACGGATAATTTTATTATTTCGATTCATTTTTATATTTATTTATATACAAAATTTTTTAATTACATCATGCTACTAATTATGTTTTTGAGTTTAAGTTTGATAGCTAGTTTTTCAATATCTATAAAAAATTACCATTTCAATTCAATACAACATCGGCAACAATTCAACCCAATACAACATCGGCAACATTTCAATCCAATACAACATCTCAAAACTTAGATTAAATACCTATTGCTATTCGAAATTTTCTGTAAATAAAAGTGAATTGACGCTTAGTACAGAGAAAACTAGATAGAAACAGGTATACATGATAGCCAAGTGGTTTCTTTGCTATTTATTTGCAGTATATAAGCACTATATAAGTGTTTCGGTCTTGAGATCCTTTATGCCGAGCTGTAGGTGTTGATAAGCTGTTAATGTACTAGTTTACACTTGTCCACGGAATCTTTACATCAATTAAATTATTAAATTAAATCAATGAAATAATACTATTAAATTAAATTAATGAAATAATATTATTAAATCAAACCAATGAAATAAATTATGGCTGTAAAAATTGTATGGACAGGTGTTAACTGTGTTAGCCGTTTATAGGCATACTGCGTTAACAATGTTAGCCGTTTATATACATACTGCGAGTGACAAAAATTCCCGATAGTCTCCTACTATCGTTTTTTAAAACGTATTGGAATAATTGTCATAATATATATATTATATTATATTTCCTATAACGATAAGCAAATATATGGCGGAAGCTGCTTGGCTGTTGTGTCTAAATATTTGTAATGTTTAAAACATGTATAAATTGTTTTAAATAATGTTCTTGGCATATTTCTAAATTCTGTATTTTTTTTTAAAAATGTATGTAATTTCATTTAAAATATGTGAAATATTATTGTATTTGTATATAAATTGTATACAAAAAAGTACTCAAAATCCGATGTAAAAATATGAAATTTCGATGTAAAAAAGTTGAAATAAGCTAATTTTAAGGTGATTTTTTGAATGTTAAAAAAACTGATTGTGCCAGAACTTACACAATCTATCTACTACATTGTATCAAAATATTGTGTGCCAAACGTTTCAATTAATTATATTCATAATGTCAATACCTATTGTGTTTTATTTACACACTGGGGGACTGCATTATGACATGCTGATAGTGTATTTGTTCACTAATAATTTAAGTGAAGAAAAGTACAAGTAGACAAAATAGTTCTTAGGTTAAAGGTTTCAAATAGGTACATCACAATACAACAACACTGAGACTAGTAAATAATTAAATACTTTATTTTGACAGCGGATGCTGTAAAGGTATTAGTTGTATCGACACAATCAGAAACAATAAATACCTAAATGGAACATTCATACTAATTACTTGACCAAAAAGAAATATCCTTTGGCGATATTAATGTTTGGTATTGAATTCTGGCATTGGACTCATAATGTCCACATGAATATTTTTTAAACCTATTAAAATACATGTTTAACCTATTTTCCATACGAGGCTGCGTTTCGTAGAAATAGCATTTATATTACTCTTACTGTACAAGAACTAAAAAAACAGTTAATTAAAATACAAGACATAATATCGTAATGATATCATTCTGATACAAGATAAAATATGTAATACTACTTTTGGCAAACTAAATCCTTTAATTGTATTGATATTTGTATACAACTAATTATTAGTAATTCTTATTGTGCAGCTACTACCTATTCCAAATATTTTATTTTTGGTGAACAAGCTAATGATGTGCTATTTGATTTATTTGGTTACATATTTCATATTTTTCAACAGTCTTTGGCCTATTTGGTACATGTCAATATTTTATTTTCATTAATTTCACCAACAACCTTAAATCAATTAGTAAAATCAAGCATACCGTACACACTCAATATCATAATTCACCCAGTAGAAGAGGAAAAGATAAGAAATGAAAAGACATGTAATTTGTAGGTATTAATTTTATTTTATTGATCAGCTGAAAAAAACAAAACAAAGGTATTTAAGTTACTGTTAAATTATGTCAATATCTATATTTACTCACTGGGGGACTGCATGTGATGTGGATATGTTTTTATGATAATCACAATTTTAATGACATGCTGTTGGTGTATTTGTTCACTAATAATTTAGGTGAAGGAAAGTATAAGTAAGAAAAGTAGTTCTTAGGTTAAACGTTTCAAATGGATACATCACGATACAACAATACTACATAACAGCGAGACCAGTAAATAACTAAATACTTTATTTTGACACCGGATGCTGTAATGTTACCAGTTATATTGACATAATCATAATATAATGTAAGAATAAATAAATACCTAAATGGAACATTCATATTAATTACTAGAAATATCCTTTGGCTATACAATACATGTATAACCTGTTTTCTGTACAAGTCTGCGTTTCGTAGAAATAGCATTTATATTACTTTTACAGTACAATAAATAAAATATGTAATACTACTTTTGGCAAACTAAAACCTTTAATTGTAGGTATTGATATTTGTAAACAACCAAGTGTAAAGGATTAATATAAATTAAACTGTTATTGTAATTCTTATAGTTAGTTTTAAAATTTTTTACCATACATCTACTGCCTATTCTAAATATTTTATTTTTGGTGAGCTCAAAAACATCATCACGAGCTAAGTAACCATGAGTAATTATGTTTTATTTTGATTTATTTGGTTACCTACATATTTCATATTTTTTTAACACTCTTTTGCCTATTTGTTACATTTCAATATTCATGCATGCATTTTATTTGCATTCATTTCACCAACAACCTTAGATCAATTAGTAAAATCAATCATACCGTACGCACGTGTAACTCACACAATATCAAAATTTAATTTGATATAATTTGGTATATTTAATACCCAGTAGAAGAGGAAAAGATATGAAATAAAAAGACAGGTTTTTGTTATCTATCAATATTTTATTGATCAGCCGACCTGAAAATAATGTGTTTGATTAGGATTATCTATACAAAAACTTGAATATTTTTTAAACATACAACTACTATCTCCACGCTGGGCGACCGACGGCTGTAGCGGCTGGGCGACCGGCGGCTGGGCGACCTACGGCTGGACCCGGACTGTGACCTGGAGTCTGCTGCAATATAAATCACAATTATAAGCACTGTTAAAAAAAATATATCCGAAATATTTTATAGAGGAAATATAATTACTTCTGGTGGCCGAATTCCTGCTGGCGGTGCCTGAAAATAATATGTTTAATTAGAATTATCAATACCTACCGACAACTTGAGTATTTATATATCCTTACATCGGCGCGCAGCTTCGTCGTACGACGTATCACTAATTATCTGAAAAAATGTGATTTTAATTGATTAGATTTATGAATATCATTGATTTGAATATTTTTTAAACGTACAGCTGCTGCAGGTCTTCTCGTTGACCGTGATCGGGATCGGGGCCTGGTGTCCGACCTGCCGCCGTCATCCGGATCACGCCCGTTGACAATTTGCCTTTGCCTACCACTACCGCGGCCCCGTCTGCCGCCGCGACCATTAACCGTGGCTTTTACTACAATACACATTATTACAATCATAAAGAAACTGTTGAGAAACAAGTAAAATTAGTGGCGTGGCGAACTGAATATTTTCCAGAGGCAATATCCCAAGTATTAATGCAAACTAATTCTCTATTGAGTAGGTACCTAATATATCATAATATTACATTTACCAGGGGAACCACCAGCTACCGCCCACCACGCCGCTGTAGTAAAGTACCTATACACACTCACCGCAGTCACGCGAAAAATGGCCCAATTCTTGGCAGTTATAACATTCTGAAACGCGAAAACATAATTTTCGCTTTTATATTGATCACATGACAATATCATTTAATACTATAATCACTAATAATTTATACTTACTTCGGCTGCCGCCTCGCTTACCGGCGCCTCTGCCCCGGTGCACGGTGTTATACACCGTGCAGTTTTTTCCAGTAATTGTTATATTACCGCTCATTCTGAAGTCAATGGAAAAACATTTTAAAAAGGTGTATAGTAAAAACAGATAAGTTAATTAATTCGTTGGCCGGAAAGCGTGGGCACGTGCTTACAAAAAACTAAGCCCCCGTTTAGTACCCAAGTGGAAATATTAATTAATAAATACGATCCGCGTTGAACGGGTTAAAAACAAGCACTAATGTTCTAATACATTGTTACTCATTTTGAAGTTGATAAATAAAAACAAATAAAGTGTAAGGTGAAACAAAAGAAAAAAAAAATTTGTCGGTATTATTATGTTTGTGGTATGATAAAATATTAAATTCGTTAAACGGAGAGCATGTTTTGAAAAGCAACGAATTAAATTAATAATACAATATTCATAACATTAATATTACATTGTATACTCACGTTTACACTTTTAAACACTTTAGACACTTTCAAAGAAACAGTCGACCAAAACCAGTCCGCAGTCGTACGTTTGGACGTTTGAGAACGGTTAGTCGGACGTCGGCGCAGTCCTTTGTCTTAGAACGGCGACAATAACAATAAGAGTCAAGGCAGGTAACCCATGCGGGTAACGATATCGCACGGCTGATTAATTAATTTATTGTATACACATATTATTATTATATCGATATTTTATATTCGTATTATTCATTTGAACACGGCTTTAAACCTTACACTTTAGACCATCGTTCTTATTTCATTTTCGCAAATTTTTTTCATATGGTCATAATAATGCCATAGGCCCATCACTCGAATTTATTGATACACGCGCAAACACGGTTTTCAAACATACCGCCAAAGCCTTATCACCGACCGTTTATCGTCGGTCCGCCCGCTATCGCTATATCATTACCGCAGGCGCGACTTTTATCAAACGTTCACATAATACGGGAGACCTCGGGTCTAACACCATGTTGGTGCGCGGAAGCGTTTCCATGTTTTTCGGAGGTTCGCAGGGAAACAAAAGCCCGACCAGCTGATCGAGTTTCTCTTCTATATTGTTGCGCCTTTGGCAATGCAACGCTGAAATTCTTGATGGAAATACAGTATGCTATTATTTCAGAACACCTTCGTTTATTCGTTAGTGATTACGGGCCTTATCAGTGATTTTAAGTGCATATCCATCAGACAATCGGGTTTTAGCGTAGGCATATATTATTTTATAATGATGCGTTATGAATTATGTCTTATGTAGATGCACGTGTGTATGCATGTCGTTTGCATTGTGTACTCAATGGATATAGTATAGTAATAAATAATATATTTTATTATATAAAGTAAGAATATAGATGATTTAACGGGTGAGTTAGTCGTGAACACCACAGTGAACTTACATTTTTTGGCACGGTAAAAATACTATTTTCATTTACGAGCCGGCTTCGGAGTAGTGGATCTGACGTTTAGTCGGATTGCTTATGCGTGTTATCATCAATCGAGGTGGCTGACTTGCTAGACACTCGACAGCTGATCACGGCGGCTATATTACGATTAGCACGGGCACCCGAAATGTTAACATTATTTTCGAGTTACTTATTACGACGACACTAAAAAACATTGTCTGCTATACGGACGTCACACATTGTGACTACCTCCAACGTCAAGGAAGGTGACTAACCTGTTTGAATTTATTTTCACGTAATTTAATCTTTACTTTTGCTTTTTCAGTAACAGTAATGAACGCTGTCAGTAATGATTGCATACCTGTTGGTCGTGAGTAGGCCGTAACACGTCGTCACGTCGTCTACCCGAGTGACTACGTCCAACATCGAGTCGGATTGCCTACCCGGATAACATAGATGGGTGACCTGCTAGACACCAAATAAAAAGACGGTGGCTATATGATTTGCATGGACGCCCGAAATGTTTTGAATATTTTTTCACGTAATTTATTACTAAATTTTGCGTTTTAAAAAAACGTCGCCCGAATGAACTGCGTCGAATCGCATACGTGATGACATGCCCCAGCCGTCGAATATTGTACGCAATCCGACTTCGTCGAGGAAGGTGACTGACCTGCTAGACCCTAAAACTTATTTTCAGGTAAATTATATCAGCGATGCCTTGAACCCGCCGTCACTACCCGGATAACATAGATGGGTGACCTGCTAGACACCAAATAAAAAGACGGTGGCAGTATGATTTGGATAGACGACGGAATTATTTTGAATTTTTGCCCCAGCCGTCGAATATTGTCGGATTGCCTTCCAGGGTGACTAAGACCAAAGTCGAGGAACGTGACTGAACTGATAGACCCCAAATACTATTACTAAGGCGAAGACATGGCTAGACACCCACAAAAATTCAATGACTGTATTATTTTTTTACGAAATTTCGAATTTCCGGCGGCGTTGTCGAAAAGACTCTGTCAAAGACTTTGTCCGCTACTCGACGACCCGGCCGTCCGGATGGCCTGCCCGAGCCACCAAGTCGAACCGCAGTGGTCCTAGGCACTCCTAGCCTTATCATACATCCTTATCACCATACCTCCTCAGCACCCATACACCTTGTCGGCCGAGACCCATTACCGCACCACGAGACCACCGCTGCTTCCGTAATCGAAAACACTAATGACCAACTGTCGGGGGTCTGGGGGTGTCCCCCAGCGACGCTCGGAGAGCTAGTCTCTTCTCTATACTATAAAGCATGAACACGTGTGGCGCCGCCTATGTGTTAAATCCGAACTGCTATAGTGAACAATGGAACGGATGGCGGGAAATCGCGGCGGCGTTATCACTCCTCCTTATCGCTTTTTTAAGTCCACTTAGAAGACCCCCTACGGTCCCCACGGTTTTTCGGCCGTAACGGAAAAGCCAAATACGTTAGATATGTTATTTAACATTCAGTGTTTTTCTTTGAGTTTTGTTGTCTTTTGGGCGCTTTTCACATACCCGGTGAGTACAACTTCTATAATAATATCTACTACTATATAATATTCAGATAAACTACTGATTCTATATGTTTGCACCAGCTACAGACATCATGGCGCGTTTCGTGTTTTTTTCGTACACCGCAAATGTACTTTGAATACCTATAACTTTTTTATATCCGCATTCGTATTAGTTGTGTATTATCCAGTCGCTGTAGTCGATGTTTAAGTCCGTTGGCTGTTTCTTCGCGTTACCATTGCGGTACCTACGTGTTTTATCGCTTTACAATTTGCGTTAACACTTAACAGTTAATTGTGCAATTACGAGCTGGGTATGTCATTTTTCGTATTTTTCTATTTTTTATGTACATCACGTAAGCCGGTGTGTACCTATTAATTCTAAAAATAACACGCGAGTCTCATACCTCACCGCTGATAACAATAACTGATACCTACAACAGACAACAGTCGTTGTATTCGATTGCAACGTTTTTTTTTTATGACGAGTTTTTCATATTTAGTATTCACTTTTTACTTATTATTACTATAACCTGTTCGTGATGCTTTTAGGCTATTCAAAATGGTCAAACGATGTGTGCTATGCGGAATTGTGGAGAAAACATTATCGATGTTTCCGTACACAAGTAATTCACCCAACACGTACCAATACCTACTTATCAATATATTATAATAAATTATGTGTCGCCTTAGATTTCCAACTGCCGTATACCGTATACAGTTACTGTTGGCGCGACTTTTAACAAACGTTTACATAATACGGGAGACATTGGTTCTAAAACCATGTTGGTGCGTGGAAACAAAACCACAACCAGCTGACCGAGTTCCGTTTCCATATCGTTGGGCCTTCGGCAATGCAACGCTGAAATTCTTGATGGAAATACAGTATGCTATTATTTCAGGACACCTTCATTTATTCGTAAGTGATTACGGGCCTTATCAGTAATTTTTGGGCACGGTAAAAATACTATTTTCATTTTCGACCCGGCTTCGGAGTGGTGGATCTTTTATCTGACGTTTAGTCGGATTGCTTACGCATTTAACGATGTTATCATCAATCAAGGTGGTGACTGACTTGCTAGACACTCAACAGATCACGGCGGCACGATTCCCTCGAACCGGCCGTCACACATCGTCAAGTTGTCTACCCGGGTGACTACGACCAACATCAAGTCGATCGACACCCCGGAGAACGCCGCCGTCGTGCGTCGTGTCGCTTTTACTATAACATACAGGCTTCAATACAGCCCCCCCCCCCCAAATGATTTTAATTTTTTTTCACGTAATTTCTTCTTTATTTTTGCGTTTTCGGTAACAGTAATGAACGTGCCCCCGCCTTCGCACATTGTCCGCTATCCGACGGGGTCGGATTGACTACCGGATAACATAGATGACTGACCTGCTAGACACCCAAAAAAAGGCGGTGGCTATATGATATGCATGGACGCCCGAAATATTCCTTCTTTATTTTTGCGTTTTCGGTAACAGTAATGAACGTGATGACGTTCATCAGCCGTCGCACATTATCCGCTATCCGACGAAGTCGGATTGCCTACCAGGGTGACTACGACCTACGTAGAGGAAGGTGACTGACCTGCTAGACTCCAAAACATATTTTCACGTAAATTATACACCCAATCCTCGAACCGGCCGTCACACGTCGTCACGTTGTCTACCAGGTGACTAGGTCTCACATCGAGTCGGATTGCCTACCAGGGTGACTACGACCTACGTAGAGGAAGGTGACTGGCCTGCTAGACCCCAAAACATATTTTCACGTGAATTATACACCCAATACAATCGAACCGGCCGTCACACGTCGTCACGTTGTCTACCGTGACTACGTCTCACATCGAGTCGGATTGCCTACCCGGATAACAATTTTTTTTCACGTAATTTATTCTTTAATTTTGCATTTTCGTTAACAGTAATGGACGCTGTGATACTTGATGACGTTCATCAGCAATCGCATATTTACCAAGGTGACTACGACCAACGTAGAGGAAGGTGACTGACCTGCTAGACCCCAAAACATGTTTTCACATAAATTATATAACCGATGCATCGAATCGGTTGTCACGTTGTCTACCCGGGTGACTACGTCCAACATCGAGGAAGGTGACTGA